GCATGTCTCATGCCTGCGTTTCTTTGTTCTTTATTCATTAGATTTTTCATTCCAGCTTTTATTATTTTTATAAAGTAAAGGGCGTGAATGCAGACAATATGCATTCCTCCTATGGGCCCCATCATAACAACCCGCTGGCCAAGGCTGGGGTGGGCGAGTGTGATTGGCCCAAAGCAGGGAGTCGGCAACCTTAAAACACTCGAAGAGCCAAGTCCTAACCGGAAGCCTCCCGTTCAATTCTGGAGACAACCGGAAGTCTGGTCCCCCCACCATAAAGTCTCCTAGCGAGGCATCCTTTTTCCTCTACCTGTCCTAACTGAAAGCCCTATCAATTGTAGAACTGACCTGTGACATGGAGCCGCAGCAGAGTGACGAAAGAGCCATATGCGGCTCCAGAGCCGTGGGTTGCCGATCTCTGGCCCAAAGTCATCCAGCTGGCTTTTGTGCCTAAGTTGGGACTAGAAATCCCAGTCTCCTGATGGTTAGTCCAAAGTCACCTAGCTGGCTTTCATGCCTAAGGTAGGACTAGAACTTCCAGTCTTTTGATGTTTGGCTCAAAGTCACTCAGTTAGCTTTCATGTATAAGGTGGCGCTAGAACTCCCAATCTCCTAGTGATTAGTCCAAAGTCATCCAGCTGGTTTTCGTGCCTAAGGTGGGACTAGAACTCCTACTCTCCTGGTGGTTTGGCTCAGTCACCCAATTGGCTTTCGTGCCTAAGGTGGCACTAGAAATCCCAGTCTCCTGGTGATTAGTTCAAAGTCACCCAGATGGTTTTCGTGCCCAAGGTGGGACTAGAACTCACTGTCTCCTGCTGATTAGGCCCAACAGCTTTTGTGTCTAAGATGGAACTAGAACTCACAGTCTCTAAAGGTTTCTTAAGCCAGCACCTTAACCACTGGCCAAACTAAGGATAAAACCAGACTGAGGAAGCCACTACTCCAGTTAATTACAATCACAGACTGCGCTAGCTAAGTTGGTGGGAACCAAGCAACAGAACGGGCCAGAAGCCCACCCTCGCTTGGGGCAAAGTAAAAATTTGCCAAAGCCAGAGAAGAAGGGAAGGGAAGATGACCTTGCCAACAGCCGAGAAGAAATCCTCAAGGTCTCGAGGGCGGATACGGGCAGCTAGCTGCATGCAGAAGACCGTGCGGGCGTCACGTTCTTCGGGGCTCAAGCTGCCCAGGGGCTCCCTGTGTTGGGAGAGAAGCGGAGGGATTCAGACGCAGAACTGGATGCCGGGGAGCAGAGACGAGGCACGTTAAAGAGTTCTCTCTCAGCCATCCACCCTCATCCATGTTGCAATACTCACCGGAGGGGACTCTTCTCTCTGAACAGGGGACTTTTGCTGTGACCAAACCGTCGCCTGCAAGAAAACAAGAGCACAACTTCAGCAGTGGCGACACAATCACAAGGGTGACCGGGTTTCCCCGAAAACAAGACCGGGTCTTATATTATTTGTCAACTTGTAAAGCATTTCCACGTCTGTTATCAGGTTGACATTGGAGGAAAGGAGGGAGAGAATTCCACGCATAGATCTCAGATTACAACAGCAGGCTTGTGAGGCGCGGAATTTTACAACCTGCTGCAGCACCTCGTTGGCGAATGTGATTTATGACACAGACTGAGGGGAGGGGAGAAACAGGAGTAAAGTTCAATCATAATTAAACTGAAGTTAGATCTGACTCCACACAGGTATTGCCGAGATGTTGTTCCTAATAAATGACGGGATTTCTTTTGAAACTTGGCTCAAGGCTCGTGAATTAATTAGGGCATCTTTAGGAAACCTGACATTATTTTTTGCCCCAAAAGATGCATTGAGCTTATTTTCTGGTTAGGTCTTATTTGGGGGGGAGAGAATACGGTACTAATTGTGTCTGTCTGCCTGATGATCTTAACTGGGGCTTATTTTTGGAGTAGGGCTTATGTTGTGGCCCAGCAGGAGCTGTTGGAGCTGCCGACAGACTCCGATAGCAAGGGACTCTATGAATCAGCTCTGGAAGATGTGGAGGACCCTGGGCAGGGTTCAGACTCCGAGCAGGGACCAGAGAGGCTAGTTGGCTACCAGGAGGCGCCTGAGGCATGGAGCAGCGGTGAAAGTCAAAGGGAGTTTGTCCCTGGCATCAAGCCCTGGAGCAGTGGGGAGGAGCAAAGGGAGTTGGTCCCGGACGCCAGGCAGAGACAGGGGGATAAGCGCCGGCAGCAATTACGGAGACATAGAAGATAATCGGGCCCAGGTGGTTGTGATTTGGGCTCCTCCCAAGAGT